TTCTTCCTTGTGGTTTCAGTTACCTTGAGATTTTCTTTCCTCATGTTTTTAGATAGCTTCCTTCTTCTCTCACTTTTTTCAAGTCTCTTACCAACTTCTCTAAGTGGTCTGCCCTAGTCACTTTACCCATCAGTGGATTTGCTGGATATCCATCCTAGCTTTTTGGAAAAATGAAATCACTTTTAAGCATAAATTTAAAATGTGTAGGAGTGTAAGTTGGAAAAGTAATCTTGATAAAGGTAGATGTAATATGTTCAGATTTCTTGGTATATTTTGTTGGTAGAAGCTCAAAACATTGAAAGTGCAATTAGTACTAAGTGTATTTGACACACACGTGTGTGTGTGTATTTCAAAACAATCAGATTGTTTTGGATGTGAATAGTCTTCTTAATAAACAGTCCAATTAAAATAAGTCAGATTTGTTTGTAATTGATGTTGAATGTTGCACTTTAGACCAATGTTAAGTTCACCATCCTTCATATTGCATTTTAATGACTGGCAAGTAAAAAACTAAGGTCAAGACATATTTTCTTTTTCTTTTTCTTTTGCTATGGCATGGAACACGAATGGAAGGGTACATCTAATACATGAAATTATTAAGAAGACATGCTATTCCCTCCCACCAAGATTAATAAAATTAACAGTTTTAATAAGTAGTATGCTTCTAAAAGGCTTTCAGTAATATACCAGTAACTGAAGCCTAGGTCTCTATTTCAGAAACTTCAGAATTTCCAGATTTTTTCAGATATATGTATGAGCTGAATAGAAGTTAAAGCAACAGAAAAATGGAAGAGAAAACAAATTGGTTAGAGCTACGCTATTATGAAGAGATTTTAAACCCCATGTCAAAAAAATGTTTGCCACCACTACTCTGGACATAATATTTTTTATTACTATGTCACAGAATACAAATCTTTGATTCACTTTAAAATGAAAGCCACAAATACAGAACTAAGTCCCATGCCTCAAGGAGCAAAAACGTTGAATATTTTGCCAAAATTCTTGCCTCAATAAAGGATAATAAGGTCATGCCTAATAAAAGAGTAACTGTTGAAATTCAGGAATCTGCCAAAAACATCAGTTTGATGTATTTGTTTCAGAGAGAGGCATTCAACATCCTTTTAAGAGAAAGGTTGCATATGTTCCATCTCACAGCCGTGCTCTATGTACCATGCCCAAGAAGAAGGGAAGCTCAGTTTTATGATGGCCCAATCTCTATTTTCCTCCCATAAAGTATCAATATCACCTTGTTGCTTCTTAAAGTATTGTACTCCTGTTTTATTAAAGACTTCTTACTTTCAGTGTTCTGGGGAGGCATGATATGATGTGAAATAAGCCTTGGCAGCTGCCTAAAACCAAAACCTTTATGCCTATCTTCTTATAGTCAGCAATTCCATGGTGACTTCTAACACAAGCAAGAGAAACGTGGTATGTTCAAACAGAAATCTATCAAAATTTTTTGTCCTTATGTATATCCTCTTAAAAAAGTTACAGAAATACTCATTCTGAATGCACAAATTCAGATTATTGTTACTTAGCAACAATCACAGGTTGAATGCTTGTTACACACTGTGAAATTGTATTATATTCCCTCAAAAGGAGAAAAGTTTCTCATTTAGCTAGCTTCTAAAAATTCTAAGATATTAAGTCATGTTTGGTTTTAATGTAACTCCTGATTGTTCTGGGGGATTTATGAAAGATTTTCAATTGTTAACAGCTAGCACATATGTTATACGTACACAAGTTATGAAGCATAATAATAAATACCCATGGAGCCACCTCCAAACACAATTACGTATTTCATCCTGCCAGACTTCATTCTCCGAATACGACTATCCTTGGTTCAGTTTTGATTGCATTGTTTACTTACCTTAGGAAGAAATGGGTTTTTGCTCTTTATATGTCTCAATATACTGCTGAGTTTTGCTTATATTTTGTGCCTGTGCAAAAAAATAGTTATGAGACTATCTGTAGTCTGGTCACTTCCTTTTTAAACTCAGTGTTCTTACAAATGCCCACTAATTTATATTCTTCTGAAATATTTTATGTTGGTAATATTGATATATTAAAGTTTATTATAAAGCTGTAGTAATTAAAATAGCATTACATTTGTGTAGAGATAGGTAAATTGTCCAAGTGAACAGGATGGAGAGCCTAAAAACAGATTCATGCATTTATAGAAAGCTAATTTATAATTAGAGGTAGCATTGCAAACTACATATTCTTGGCTCAAACAATTTCCACAAGCTGTACTAGCACATGTATACAGAGGTCTGTGTTGAAGACTGTTCATTACAGCCTTAATTATAGTAGCCAAATTTTATGAACAATCTAAATGTCTGCTAATAGAATAAAATATTAAAATATCTGTTACATATATTATAGCTATAAAATGAAAATTATGTAACTGTTTAAAAGAATATAAAACAAGAGATACTGATCCTCTCCTAACACTGCAATTGGGACTCATAACTTAGTGTATTCTCTTTGGAAAGCAAATTTGGCAATATGTACCATAATTTACAATATGCAGAAATGACATTGACAAATTCCAGTATCTTCAACATCTTTTAAAGGATGTGCACTCAGATTGTAAATTTTATTGCTTGAAAAACAACTTAAAAGGTTAGAATAAACTTACATGTCTGTAAGGGAGAATACCTAAATAAATTATAAAATACAGTTAAGCATTTTTTTTTTAAGACAGAGGCTCGCTCTGTTGCCAGGCTGGAGTGCAGTGACACCATCTCTGCTCACTGCAACCTCCACCTCCTGTGTTCAAGTGATTCACCTGCCTAAGCCTCCCAAGTGGCTGGGACTACAGGTGTGTGGCCAGGTAATTTTTGTATTTTCAGTAGAGACAGGGTGTCACCCTGTTGGCCAGAATGATTTCAATCTCTTGACCTCATGATCCACCTGCCTCAGCTTCCCAAAATGCTGGGATTACAGGTGTGAACCACTGCACCCAGCCAGCAATTTTTTTAAAGTGAGATAGGGAAAACTTCCAGTAATGGAAGTGAAATAAAGTGATTGGGTGGACCCTCTCAAACTCAATAATTATAAGAATTATATTATGTGGACTGCGTATTTTTAAAAACCCATCTTCAAGTGCTTTAAAACATCCAAAAGTAGACAGAAAACTGGAGAATGGACTGGAACTGAGTATTGGTATATTCTTCTATACTGTTTAATTTAGACCAAGAGCAAAATAATTTTAGAAACTGAAAATACTTTGATTTCAATCTGTTTTACATATATTAAAATGAAACTTTTTAAAATATGACTTTAACCTCCCATGTATCTTTTAGATTATTTTAGCATGCTATGGGTCATAGCATTAAAAGTATATCTCTCATTTCCCAGTAGTTTGCCTTGTTTGATTGGGGTTCTGTATCTTGATTCATTCAATCCAGCAAATATTTATTGCCTGTCTAACATGTGCCAGACCCTCCTCTAGATGCTAGGGATAAAGTAGTTAGCAAGATAGATAAGAGGTAACTTACATTCTAAGATCTCTTTTGTTTAGTAGTCTTGTAAGCAAAAGGTATGTATTCCCCTGAAGGTATCATCTAGTAGAGGAAGAAGGAAAAAAATCTGGGAGGAAAAAGGATAAGCAGAAATCTTATTTCCGTACATAGAATCTCTGAATATTAGAATTGAAGGGCTTCAGTATAGTTCAATTATTTTATAGGAGTATTTTGCTAAATATAGTCACTCTATTTGATTAATTCTTAGAATACTCCAGTATTTTAATCATCTAGTTTTTCAGCCATTTTGAGTATAGTGATTATGGAAGTATAATTTAATAGAGAATTAATGTTTGGGTTTGCCTTTGTGGGGGATGCAGAGGTTTGTGAGAAGAATGTCAATTTTTGCATAAGTATGACAAGTATATAATATGAAATGGGATTTATTTGGCTTTTAGTTCCTCCATTGTTCTGTAAACTATAGGGAAGGTGTTTTCATTGTTCGGTTATTTTTACCCCATAGGCAAATTTTTTAGGGCCAAAAGTTTGAAGCTGTTCTTCTTATATTCAATAATCTTTACCATCCAGAGTGTTATTTATTACATATAATCCAAATGATTTCCCTTACTAACCCTCTTGTTTAGTTTACTATATGAGTTTGCTGTTGAAATAATTAAACATCCTAATAAGACATCTCTACCTTAGCAGAGGGACAAGGACAAAAATTTCAACAATAGCAGATATTTTGTATGTTTGTTTTTTTTTAAACAGAGTCTCACTTTGGCACCCAGCTGGAGTGCAGTGGCATAATCTTGGCTTACTGCAACCTCTGTCTCCTGGGTTCAAGCAATTCTTCTGCCTCAACCTCCTAAGTAGCTGAGATTACAGGTGTGCACCACCATGCTCAGCTAATTTTTGTATTTTCAGTAGAGATGGGGTTTCACCATGTTGGCCAGGCTGATCTCGAATTCCTGACTTCAAATGATCCACCCACCTCAGCCTCCCAAATCCCTGGGATTACAGGCATGAGCCACTGCACCTGGCCTCAAATATTTTTTAAAGCATGCTTTTCCCCAAAACTTTCCTCAATTTCAACAAATTGTTTATCTCCTCCCTTACTATTTGTTCCACTAAACCCTATGCACGATGTGATTATGCTGTGTTTCTGTACTATGTATTTATTTTGTTACTTGCATCTGTAATATATTTGTGCATGTTTGGTTGTATATATACATTGAGAACTGACATTTTAATACTATTTTATGTTTTCTGAAATCATTTTGATCAAATGTATGATCTTTCTCCAATAACTGAATAACGTCAGTTATAAAACTATAATGATTATCATCTCATCTTAGATTATTTAGCCCAGAAAAAGTGACTACATCATTCAGTTTTAAGTACTATTTGATTTCCTAAATTGTCTCATCTGCAAAGTTTTTTTTCTAGTGGGCTTTAGTAACATAATATTCTTTATCCTTCAGCTAAGTATATTTTTTTCTCTTTCTCCCTGTCTTAAAAAAAATTCAACAGCTTGATCAAGTCATCCGTCAAAGAAGCCTGTCCAGTTTGGAACTGTTCCTCTCCTGTGCACAAAAACAGTTAAGTGCTTTAATAGCTACGGAACCAGTTGACATTGAATAAAAAGAACATGACAAGCAAACCCACACTGGCATTGGATAAATTATTACACCTTCAAAATACATGCTCTGAATTATAAAGATCTGTTTGTTTTCTTTCCATATCATGTAGAATTGATTTCCAGTTCAAGGATAAACCAAAACAATATTTAGAACTATCAAGTGATCTAATTTATTTTCTTTTGATTTCTCCTTTACATTTACTATTATTTTATTAGTAGTAGTAGCAGCAACAGAGTATGATAAGACCCAAAGCCATTGTAAAGTGCCACATTATCAAAAGTAATTAAGAAAACTTTATAGACTGTGGTAGTCTGTTATATATTATTTGGCAAAAGTAGTAAATATATTATTGTTTCATGATGACTCTTGATGAGATGCTAGAATGTAACCATACATTTATCTTATTTTGAGGATAGAAATAGCATGGATTTCAACATCACCTATTTATCTATATAATTGGAAATAAAACACTGATATAAAGAATCATTCTGGCATTATCTAACCTCTTTCCTGCAGTTGGATCTATGTGTTTTCATTGTTCTACTGAAAAGAAACAATACAATTAAAAGCACTAAATATTATTATGTTAATTCAACTTTGATCTTATACATCAAATAAGCATATATCACACACCCCCCTTTAGTTTATTTTCTATTTATACTCTTTGAAGGCACTTTGAATCAATAAAACCATTAGTCTACAAATCAAATTGTGAACTTAATCTCTAGAAAGAGAATATAACTCAGCCTTTTATAGGAATTCAGGTTCAGATACAGGATATATAAAATCTTTTCTCAGTATGTCAAAATGTACTTAATTCACAGGCAGTATGCTTCAATGCAAAATCATGAATATTTTTAATTCAAAACTAAAATGTCATTAAAATGTGTGTGTGGAAATGTTTTATTTTCTAAAATGCATCTACTTTCATGGGCTTTGTACTTTTTTCAGATTTCTCAGTGTAATTAAAAGAGCTACTAAACTTATTTGGTTGTTACTTTTATTATTAATTTCTTTAAAACATATATCTAATTTTTTTTTTTTAGAATTTTTCTTAAGTTGAAATTTTCTGTCTCAGGTAGTCTTATCATACTACTTGAATATTTTAAGGACAAGATTAACCTTCCTTATAGACATACTTCGTCTTCTAGCCCTGCTACATTTTAATTGTAGATCTTTAGACAAGCTGCCAAACTAATTTGAGTCTCAGTTTTCTCATTTGTGAGGTGGAAAGTGATTTTTATAGGCTATTAAAAAATTAATCTTGTAAAGTACCCCATATAGACTTTGCTGGTATAGCCTCCAGTTTATAATAATTTCCCTCTCTCTGGAAATTAATTGCAAAATACAGGTGTGGATACCTACAAACAAGTGGCTCAACCATACTGCCCCTCTAACCTTGACTGACAGATCTGTAGGTGAAGACCTGACCCCAGGTGAGCCTCCTATGAAAAGTCTTATGGTGACATCACTTCAACTATTTTTCCATAGGGAGACAGACATGAACCCCTATATCTAAGGTTAGAGGTTCCCCCAACCCATTTTTCCTGAGTCTTGGATTCTGTGAGATACCCAAATATCCTTCCAGTATGTTAGCACTACTAACTTTTTTCCCTTAAGCTAGCCAGAGCCAGTTTCTATTACGTGCAACCAAAAAAATATTAACCAAGGCAGTCCAGCACAGAGCCCAGCAAGTAATCCCTGGATACTTGGCACTTTTTAGTTCCTCATTTCCTCTACCATACCAATCCACATCCAAAATGGGAACACTCTTTGATTTATTTTAAGGAATGTTAAAAATATAACTGAACCAAAGCCTCTATTGTCTAACAAAGCCAAGTAAATCAGATACCCCAAACTATGAACAAACAGTGCCCTATTTAAAAGCTTTCTGTCACTCAGAATCTAGAGTAGAGGTTTAAACTCAGCTTTGCTGAATGCTGACTCACGTTCCATTTCAAAGGAAGCTTACTCAGTGATTGCTTTGAAATCAAAACCAGAACAATGTCCCTATGATTGGTGTTATTCTGCACTGAGTCAGTTATCTATTATTGTAACTTCTTTTTTTATCTGACAAACTGAACGGAATCAGGACATGTTCTCTATATTTAAAAGAATAATACATCTGAATAAGAAAAAAATATATATATAAACCTGGAAAATATTTATAAAACTCCAGGAGAAAAGGAGACTTGGATCAAAGCACTTCGCCTCTAGGCTTCTGTTTACATACTAGTAAACAACTCTGCTGTGTCTCCAAAGACTGCTAACAAGAAGCAGAAAACTAGTGTGTTCTGAATCCACAGGCTCCTTCCTTGTAGGCATCGCCATTGGCATCAGAGTAAGTGGATGAAGTGGATGTTATCACTATATATGAGAGCTCACAGATGTGACTGCTGACTGCTGGGCTTTTTTTTTTTTTAAGCCAGGCAAAACTAAAATTATTCCCTGAATTTAACTGATAAATAAACACATTTTTAACACACCCAATCCTCCGTAATGCACGGGCTACTTGTTCACCAATCATTGCTATAACTAACTAGAAGGGAAAGAGTGGGTAAAATTTTCTTTGATCTGGTTTTGTTTTCTAATCCCCACCTTCCCAAACATTCATTCTCAACAAGTTGCTCTCCCTTAAATTGTTCCCCTTCCCGGAATTGCTATATATTGAACTTTTACTATGGAGTACTTAAATAATTAATGTTTTAATTGTTACTTATAATTAACAATTTGTGGTTTTATTTGTTTATGTCTGCCTCCTAAGAAGAGAGACTGCATCTGTTTTGTTGTATCAGTTCATTTAATATTGCCTAGCCTGTAGTGAGGACTTAGTGTATAATTGAGTTAATAAATAATTGAATCAATCAAAAAAGCAATCATTGCACCTACAATGTAGTTAACCAACTAATCCCCAGCTAATAGATTTTGGCTACTGCTTTAAAGGATTTAGCTAAAGTTGCTGTGTTTCTGAATGAGATCCTGTAAGAAAATTAACCCTCATAAAACAGTAAAACCCACCTTCTGTATAAATCAATAAAATTTCTGAAAACTCTAAAATGAAGTCTGTATTTCCAGTGCTACTGGAATGCTAAAGACCACCGAATTTGGGTAGCCTTGATTGAAATGTGCTACCCAAATTTAAAAGATCTAAATGTTAGTAGGGAAGAACATATAGGAAATTACATGTGAGGTTATTTCATGTGGTGCTGAGAGGTGCCTAGCTAGAAGAGTAAATAGTGTCTGCTTGAGAGGGCTATAGAATAGTATTAAACCTACTGGTCCGTCAGTTTTGAGTTGCAACACATAGGGAGCAACAACATTTAAGAGGACAGACTGAATGCATAAAGCTTTGTGATGAAAAATAGAAGATTCAGAGGGCCCAGTAGAAGAAGTCATGTGTAAGGAGAGGAGAGGTGCTTAAGATTGGGTCAGATCAGGGAATGTCTGGAGCATCGTGTGTGACAGCCCTGGTGATAACAGATGCCAAGAATATCTGACAGTCTTTTTCAATCTGTCTCTGACTCCAGATTGTGATACAAATTGGCCTTGTTATGAGAAATACACAGAAATCAAGAAACAAACTTATTCAAAAGGTAGGAAAATTTGACTCAGTCCTGGCAAACATTTGGTTCTCAGAAGTGTGGTAGCTGATTTAAAAAGAAAAGAAAAAATGAAGCCACAGAATGTACAAATTGCTGACTTCAACATAGCTCAGATACGGAAACAGATAATAGAAGATTCTTTGTGGCAAGATATGTATGTAATGAATTTTGAGTTGTGCCCCTTTTATTGCAGTACTTTTTTCTGAAATTGTTACAACTAAACAGCACTTTAATTTTTCATATTTTTTGGTATTTTGCCTGATTAACTGCCAAATGTAAATGTTTAATTCAACTCTACAAAAATTTTTACCACTTAGTGATTCAGTTAATAAGTTTATGCTTATTGTCTCAGTGAGCTATTCTTTTCTTATAAAGCAGGGAAGAAACTTCTATTCTCTGGTTATAGTTATAGAAAATGAGGTAAACTAGGTAGAAATATCAAAGAGAAAACTCTGGTCTATATGGTTCCAAGCAATCCAGAAAAATAACCAGGTACGGTCATTGAAGAGTAAGATGTGTTCACTTCTATATGAAACTCAAAGCGCTACAGTGATTCTACTTAATATAAATCCTTTATTAAACTGTCATTTCCCCACAGGAGAAATACTTGTGTTCAGAAATATGTGTTTTATGTCTATTACTTAGAATTTTAAATGCATATTCTCAATTATACATATTAAATAGTCCACAGAGAAACCTAAAAGTTCTATAAAACTCCTAATGCAGTGTTATATAGACCCTAACCTCAAATGTAACAAGGATGGTACCCTCATTATTTTTTTATTCCCTCTTTATATGTGATCTCAACTGATTCCATGGCTTTAAATACTCTCTGTATGCTAAAGACCACCAAATTTTTATCTCCAGCCCATTTCTTTCTTCTTAAGTCCAGAGTCCTAGATTCAGCTGCCTACTTAATATTTCCACTCAGATGTGGTACTTAACATATCAAAAACAGTATTCGTCATCCTCACCCCACCTCTGCCACCCAGATTCTCTTCTCGTGTGTGTCTTTTCTAATATTCCTCATCTCAGTGAATGTCAGTATCATCCCTTCCTGCTTCTCCTCCCCATTCCCTACACCAGACTCAGTCCTGTCATCTCTACTCCAAAATACATACTGAATCCATCTATCTTTTTCCATTCATTCTGACCACTACCTCCCAAAACAGTTTTTACAATCTCTGGCCTAGACTTTTGAAGTGGCCTCCTAGATGGCTACTTGTTTCCATTCTTGCCCCCAAGTAATTCTTCGTGTTATAGCCAATGATCTCTTAAAACCTAAATTTATTGAATCATTATAAATGTAATGTCTTTATGGGAAAATGTATTCATTGTCTCACTTCTGATTCTAGGAACGTATACAATATAGTAGGAATAGATGTAAGCCATTTGTTGTGGCGTATGTCACTGAGGCAGGGATGCCAGCAGAATCAAATCTGCAGATGGTGAAAGTTCAGCTGAATTGAAGAAAGGGAGAAAGTGAATGAATAGTTAAGAGACTCACAAACCTCCATTGTTATGTATATAACCTCTTAGGAGTCAGCTGGCTTCTTTTTCTTCCCCTTTTCTTCTAGATGACTTCAAGTTTGACCTGCCTATTTTCTCCTCTACTGTTGGTTACTCTCAAACTAAAATCTCTGTCCTTGAAAGTTTACTTGGGAACAGAATTCAATGTTATAAATATCCACAATCTCTTTCAGGTTTGATTAAGAGTTCCATTTGTGATGGTGAGAAATCTTGGAGTAAAAAAAGACCCCTTCCTGTTGTATTTTCCTCTCTGTCCCCTTTACCTTTTGGTGAATCTTTTAATACAGAATTGTATATACTGCAAAAGAATATGCAGCTTAGGCTGTTCTCGACATTCTCTGACGGAATTGGAGGGTCAGGCAAATAAGACCTTGGTACAGGGTAGCGAAGGAAAAGCCCAGCAGGGCATGAAGGCCTGACATTTAATTATCCTCATTGGCCATGAAAAGTTTATTCTTGTCTGTTCTTTTTGCTGTGTGGCATCACCAATTCTGTCATTATGGCAAGAACTCTCCAAGAAATACCAGGTAGGAAGCTTAAGTAAAATGAGAATGGGATCATGAGAGAGGGGAAATTGCAAAATTCAAGAAATCTCAAATAGGAACAGCAGGAAAGGAAAGGGCCACTTTATTGCCTAAAACCACCTGGCTTAGGTTAACAGTTCCAGGGTATCCTTTTTTGAATAGCTGTTCTAATTATTCAGCAGACTAATAGGAGTACTCGAGACGTGGAATGTGTCAGGTTACCTCAGGCAATCCTGCCTCAACAAACTACCCAGGGGGCCATGCCATGCTTCTTTATGACATAGGTGAATTTGATAGGCTCACCAGCAGAACATGGGATCACAAGGTTGGAGCCATTCCATTTCCATGAAATAATTTAAGCCAATACAAGGGGAAGGGATAAAGGCCTGAGATGGCCTTTAGTTTCACATTTTGTGCTAGAGGTATTTTTACATACTTTTTTTCTCTTAAGGAATAGAAGGTGCCTATATCTTATTACACTTAAGAAAGAAAAATTAAACTGTAACTGGGTATCTTCACTGTCAATCATTTAGCAATATTACCTGATAAAACTTTCTGAGATGTTGGAAACTATATATGCACTGCCCAGTTTGCTGGCTCCTAGCTACATGTGGTTACTGAACACTTGAAATGTGGCTAGTGTGACAGAGGACACTAACTCATTTTATTTAAATTTATATAGTTACGTGTGACTAGTGGCTACTCTTGGAAAATGCAAATACAGAGATTCCCTTGCCAGAGGGGAGGCAGTAACCAAATTATTTCCCCTAATCACACAAACAGAGTTACCGTTTGTTTCCTCCCACCCCCGTAAGACTGGTGTTTAAAGTAGGCTTGTCATGAGTACAAATGCACATGAAAACACTTCAACGAAAGAAGAAAGCTGAGAACCCAGTGCTGTTGATATATTATCTAAATGTATCATGAGTAAAGATTAAAGGAGACCTTTCTGGAAAACTTTCTAGTATATGATTCTTGGAACTAGGAACACTTCTAATTTAGTGCCAACAAAAAAGGATTTCTCTGATCTTTGGCCAAAATTATCCTAAAAATAAGAAACTCATCTCTTTAGATTTGAGTAAATACCATGGATTCTGCTTTGGTTTGTTTTTGAGAGTTCCCTGGAGAAACAATATGACCTTAGTTTTAAAGATTAAGCAGAAAATGAGTAACTGCATATAAGAATTCAGACTTCTAAAATGGACTTTGGGGAATGGAAAATAATGTCTAATTATTATGTTATGTCTTTGAAATTATTTAACTTATACTTCCCCCACCCCAGTAATTAAATTTGTTGAGAAGTAGCTTTTCATTAAGCTTGTATTATGCCATGTACTGTGCTAGTCATATTACAACTATTTAATGCGTTTAACAGTTCTATGAGGTAGATATCTCCTGTTAAAGAAGAGGCAACCAATGCTTAAAGAGGCTAATTGACTTACCAATAATTACTGCTGGTTCCATACCAGGTCTGCTTGATGCCCATACTTTTCACCAGGGCAGGTATTGCCTTTTGCCAGTAACATTCACCTACTTTTTTTTTTTTTTTTTTTTAACTTAGCCACCCATTCTGTTCAGATTCACTTTTGTAGTATATCTGCCACCAAAGGACGCTAATGATCTTTCTCAGCACAAGCTTCAGGCACAGCCTTTTGGCAACCAGATTATGCTGAGTGGTATATCACCAAAGTTGCAGCAAGCCCTGTGGCTTGTGCGGTGTCAGAACTTTTGTATGCTAGTGGGACAAAACTGTGGGAAAATTATTTCCCTTCTATGCCAAATTTCATTTAATTGCTATCATTTACCTAGTGGGAAAAGACTTATGTTCCCACAGCTCAGGCAAATCAGTCCTACTTCAATACATTGACTTAACCTGAAGTCATATTAGCATAATGAAGAAAAGGCGTGGCTGAAATATAAAATCAAGAAATCAACTACAATTTAGCTAATATAATGTAATCAAGATTTTTCCAGAAGATTTATCCTCCCCAAAGCTCTAATCTATTCTTAAAGAAAGTCATCAGTCCAAATCAATAAGCCAATGGCATAATGAGCATTATAATCTTAACATTTTTTGAAGAAGAAAATAGGAGGACGAATAAAATAATTTCATTCTGTCCTACATTTTATTCAAAGAACATAACACAAAACTGAAAACTACTAGCTTCTTTCCTCAAATTTTACTTGTTCATTGAAACAGATACAGCCCATCTGTATCATCAACATGAGAAACCATATCACATATTATTTGGAAATACATAAATGAATATTGTTCGCATTGCTAAACTTAGAGATTTGTGTTCTTCTCTTTCATAACTTATAATTTATCCAGCATGGAGGCAGCCTCCCTGGTTCAAGTCACAAGGCTATCATTTACCAGCTTAATGTATAAGCTCCCCAGTGCCTCAGTTTCCTCAGTTTTAGAGAGAAGACAATAGAATGTTCTTCATAAGATTGTTTGATTGTTTACACTTAAAAAGGAATTTAAACAATGTCTGGCCCATAGTTAAGAGTTTATGTTCTGTATTCATAAAGAAACAGTTGCTGTTTACATCATCCTTTTTGTCATTATTTTCATTAATATTTTTATGATTGATGGTATGTTATTGACTTTTAAAAATATATTTGTTATATTGACTCATTTGCTCTGATTGATAGTTTTCTCTTAAACCATGTGTTAATTTATTTAAAGAGCATTTATGATCTGTCATCTTTCAGCAAGATGTCCTGTTAGCTTCTAAGTAAGAAGCTTAGAATTTTGCAAAACGTTTTCAGAGAGGGTGCATAAAAATAATGCTTTATTGCATGACATTTTGGGGGGAGAGGAGCGGCAGCAAATATGTTGAGAATCCTAAGATGCTTTTTCCTTCAGTGGTTATCTAAAAATTGTTAAACTATGAGCATCTGGCTGGCATGCAACCTTCATGTTTCACTGTTGTGATTATCTCAGGCAGTGGATCACAGATATGTTTATCTTCAACAGACTTAGTCCCTTAATTTCTTCCCCGTCCTCCTTTCCCAGTCTGCTGAATTCCTGTCTGCTGTGAAGAGTGGTGACAAATACTAATCTGAACTAGACCACAGTCATATAAAATCAGATTGAAGACTTGGCCTTGTATCAAACCTAAAGCAGAGGGGAAGGGTGGTAACTGCTGTCTTGTAAATAGCCACCCAGGGCGTAAGCCTTGAAAACATGTAAATATCACTATGTCCCATATGCATTATTTCTTAATTTTGTCATGCTACCTTTGCCAGCTAGTTTAACTGAGTATGATTTGCAGTTACTTTATTGAACATTTTTTGACAGTTTGAGTACAGCTCTAAATGCAATATTAAATCCTCTTCTGGCTCAGCAGATTGCAAAATTGCACGTTCTGTCTACACATCAAATCCTAAGTCTGGAGGGGGAATTGCAGACTTTACCTAGTCCAGCACATCCAGAAAATACTGAATTTGAGCTTTTCCATAGCAGATGGTATTTCACCCTATCCTAAATGACATTCAAACAAGATTAATTATATGATTAAAGTCTCTGTGAAGAAAGGTTAAAATTAAGCTTGACATCTGTTTCTTATAAATTCACAAAATTTTATCTTCTTCAAGGATCTCTAGCCAATTCCAGTGGCTGAACCAATAGGTTTAATTATGCCTTTATGACTGAAGAGGAAACTATGATAAATAAATGTTAACAACTTAGTTCTAAATTATTTGTGTCAACTTTATATATCAGGTTTGGAATTGGTCAGTTTTTTAATCAAAAAAGCTATCCTAAAGAAGTTTCAGAGAATCAACTCAATTCTGGTAACCCCTCATACCTGAGACTTGAGTAATTTATAAAGAAAAATATTTCATAGACTCACAGTTCCACATGGCTGGGGCGGTGGGGCGGTGGGGCGGTGGGGCAGTGGGGCGGTGGAGAAGTGGAGCGGTGGGGAGGCGTGGCAACCATGGCAGAAAATGAAAGGAAGAGCAAAGGGACTTCTCACATGGCAGTGGGCGGGAGGGCATGTGCAGGGGAACTCCCCTTTATAAACCCATCAGATTTTGAGAGACTTATTCACTATCACAAGAACAGCACAGGAAAAGACCTGCCCCCAGGATTCAGTTACCTCCCACAGTGTCCCTCCCATGACGTGGGAATTATGGAAGCTACAATTCAAGATGAGATTTGGGTGGGGACACAACCAAACCATATCACTCTTTTATAGATATTTTCTATGACCAGGAACAAAAGTTTTGCCTACATAAGTTTAAATTATAATTCATTACATTATAATATTTAAGAATTACAAGAAAAAAGTGTAAATGATCCAAGGAAGGAAAATTTGTTTTTATCAAACTCCCAATTGTTGAATACTATATTTTTAGCAAGGAAATGAAGATTTGGCTCAGAACAATACATTCTAATCAGCTTTCCATTGAACATGCCATCATCACAGTTTCTATAATTATTTAGAATTCTTTATTCAGCTATAATTGACAAATGGAAGATATATTGCATTAAAATATTAGATACATGCATTTATTTTTTTGTATTTTTTTTATTATACTTTAGATTCTGGGGTACATGTGCAGATCATGCAGGATTGTTACGTAGGTACACACATGGCAATGTGGTCTGCTGCCTCCATCCCCCTGTCACCTACATCTGGCATTTCTCCCCATGTTATCCCTCCCCGACCTCCCCAGCCCACTGCTGTCCCTCCCTTGCCTCCTCCAACAGACCTGAGTGTCCGATGTTCCCCTCCCTATGTCCATGTGTTCTCATTGTTCATCACCTGCCTATGAATGAGAACATGCGGTGTTTGATTTTCTATTCTTGTGTCAGTTTGCTTAGAATGATGGTTTCCAGATTCATCCACGTCCCTACAAAGGACACAAACTCATCATTTTTTATGGCTACATACTATTCCATGGCGTATATATGCCACATTTTCCTTGTCCAGTCTGTCATCGATGGGCATTTGGGTTGGTTCTAGGTCTTTGCTATTGTAAACAGTGCTGCAATGAACATACGTGTGCATGTGTCTTTATAATAGAATAATTTGTAAGCCTTTGGGTATGTACCCAGTAATGAGATTGCTGGGTCAAATGGAATTTCTATGTCTAGGTCCTTGAGGAAGCACCACACTGTCTTCCACAATGGTTGAACTAGTTTACACTCCCACCAACAGTGTAAAACAGTTAAAATGGCGATCATTTAAAAATCTGGAGACAACAGCATCTGTCGTCTCCAGATTTTTTTTATTTTTTATTTTTTTTTTTATTTTTTTTATTTTTTTTTTCCCTTTATTTATTTTATTGCATTTTAGGTTTTGGGGTACATGTGAAGAACATGCAAAATTGTTATATAGGAACACACATGGCAGTGTGATTTGCTGCCTTCCTCCCCATCACCTACATCTGGCATTTCTCCCCTTGCTATCTCTCCCCAGCTTCCCACCCCCCACCCTCCCCTATTTCCCCCCAACTGACCCCAGTGTGTAGTGCTCCCCTCCCTGTGTCCATGTGTTCTCATTGTTCAACACCCGCCTATGAGTGAGAACATGCGGTGTTTGATCTTCTGCTCTTGATTTTTTAATGATCGCCATTCTAATTGACGTGAGGTGATATCTCAATGTGGTTTTGATTTGCATTTCTCTAATCAGTGATGAGCATTTTTTCTTATGTTTCTTGGCCTCATATATGTCTTTTTGTGAAAAGTGTCTGTTCATATCCTTCCCCCACTTTTGGATGGGTTTGATTTTTTCTTGTAAATCTGTTTTAGTTCTTTGTAGATTCTATATATTAGTCCTTTGTCAGATGGGTAGATTGCAAAAATTTTTATCCCATTTTGTTGATTGACGGTTCTCTCAAACGATTGTTTCTTTTGCTTTGCAGAAGCTCTGGAGTTTAATTAGGTTCCATTTGTCTATTCTGGCTTTTGTTGCCAATGCTTTTGGTGTTTTAATCGTGAAGTCCTTGCCTATGCCTATGACCTGAATGGTTTTGCCTAGCTTTTTTTTATAGGGTTTTTATGATGTTAGGTCTGTAAGTCATTAATGCATCCGGAGTAAATTTTAGTGTAAGGTGTCAGGAAGGGATCCAGTTTCTGCTTTCTGCACACTGCTAGCCAGTTTTCCCAACACCATTTATTAAACAGGGCATCCTTTCCCCATTGCTTGTTTTTGTCAGGTTTGTCAAAGATCAGATGGTTGTAGATGTGTGGCATTACTTATGAGGCCTCTGTTCTGTTCCATTGGTCTATATCTCTGTTTTGGTACCAGTACCATGCTGTTTCAGTTACTGTAGTCTTGTAGTGCAGTTTGAAATCATGATGCCTCTGGCTTTGTTCTTTTTCCTTAGGATTGTCTTGGCTATGCGGGCTCTCTTTTGGTTCTATATGAAGTTTAAGGTGGTTTTTTCCAGTTCTGTGAATGCAAAGAAACTAAGAACCTAGAAAAAACTTTAGATGAGATACTAAATAGAATAAAGAGCTTAGAGAAGAATATAAACAACTTGATGGAGCTGAAAAACACAGCAGGAGAACTTAGTGAAGCATACACAAGTTTCAATAGCCAAATTGACCAAGTAGAAGAAAGGATATCAGAGATTGAAGATCAAGTCAATGAAATAAAATGAGAAGGCAAGAATAAAGGAAAAAAAAGTGAAAAGAAATGAACAAAGCCTCCAAGAAATATAGAATTATGGGAAAAGACATCTAGTTTGATAGGTATAACTAAATGTGATGGAGAGAATGAATCCAAGCTGGAAAACACTCTTCAGGATATTATCCAGGAGAACTTCCCCAACCTAGCAAGCCTGGACACCATTCAAGTCCAGGAAATGCAGAGAACACCACAAAGATACTCCTCAAGAAGAGCAGCCCCAAGGCACACAATCATCAGATTCACCATG